TTTTTTTTTTTTTTTTTTTTTGATACCGGGGATAGAACTGGGCCCTTATGCTATCGAGGCAGGTACCAGAACCACTGAGCTAAATCTCCAGCCCCTTTTTCGTCGATGTTTGAAGGTTGAAATAATTGTTATTTCAGTTTCCCAATTTGTTCAGTGGGTAAATGAGAAAATCTGGAATCAATGCTTTACCAAGATCTCTTTTCCTCCTCTTTCTCCCCATCCTTAACTCTCTTTCAAAAAGATTCATAGTGAATAAATCACTATGTAGGACCTTCAGTCAGTACTTTGTGGAGAAACTGTGACTGGTTTCCATCGACCTAGGCATACCCTTCTTCCTTTTCTCCTGGCTTGACACTAAGATGAGACTTAAGTAGGGGCAGTTTGTAGTCCTGAACCATAACAAGGTAAGTGGGCACAATGGGAATTGATATTCATGAGATCTAAGGCATTTTTCAGGTAAAAGTTGATTTCACTGGAAATCTAGAGATTTAAAGGAAAATGAGGACTGGGGAAGGAAAGCAGGCAAAACAGCAAGTTAACATAGACCAAATGCTTATCTACCATGAGCAGACACAATCTCAGGCTTTAACTTTGATGACTAGTTTAACTGAAGTAGGAGAGGAATATGTGCATAAATGTTCAGATTTTTTGAATTGCATAAAAAGGAAAGCCAATACATTCTTTACATTCTTTTTTGTTGTTGTTGCAACAAATTATTTTTGCTTTTATAGCTTTTTAAAAATAAAAAATAGCAGAGTTGAAATTCTCTGAAATATCTAGCTTTTAATTTAAAAATCTGAATTTCCCTTTGTCAAGTCAAACTAAAACAAAACAGAGATATTATAAAAGTTTTTCTGTGTAGGAGAAAAAGGTACTAGTTGATGGGCACAGCCAGAGCACTCAATTTTCTTCTGAGTGCTGCTAGGCAGAGCCACCTGAAACGACTTTTACAGAAACATTTACACTCTGTTCTTAATATTCTGAATGCTCCCCTTATAAAGAAGTGACAAATGTTTGAGGATATAGTTATGTTTACACTGATCTGAACATCACATACTATATACACATGTATCAAAACATAACTTGGCACCTCTTAAGTATACATACTTTTAAAATATCTGTTAGAAATTTAAAAATAAAATAAATAAAAATAAAAATAAATCCAAATAGTAAACCCAAGTTTATTTTCTGCCTTATAAAGAAGTGACAAATGTTTGAGGATATAGTTATGTTTACACTGATCTGAACATCACATACTATATACACATGTATCAAAACATAACTTGGCACCTCTTAAGTATACATACTTTTAAAATATCTGTTAGAAATTTAAAAATAAAATAAATAAAAATAAAAATAAATCCAAATAGTAAACCCAAGTTTATTTTCTGTGTCAATTAGGTCAGCAGCACTTGGCAGGTTCCTTTCCTAGGTGTTTCTTACCCCAGTATCTGTAATTTATGTCACACTCTAGGTAGGGATTCCAGGATGCAGAGCTGTGATCTCCTCAGATTTTTGTCAAAACTTCCTCTTTTCCTTAGGTCAGTAGCCCTGCCCTACGCCTATGTAGAATTAAATGCAATAGAAGGCGAGTAACACCATGTGATTGTAGATTTAGTCATCTGATTGCTGTCTCCTTGATAAACCTGAAAAGGCCACTGTAACAGACACAGGGTAACGGGTAAACTAAACTTCGGTGCAATCATGTTTATCTTGGTCAACATTTTATAGTTTCAAGTATTTTGCATAACCTTCATGAGCACAGAAATTGTTTTATTGAAAACAGTAAAATTAATAGGGATGTTCATTCACTCATCTCTTGGAATAGTCAGTAAATTCCTTGAAGATAGTTGCCTTGGGGGACATTTTTAAATTTTGGTTTGTGAGTGAGTCCTCAGGATTAAAATCAAGACTGTTATCAGCAATCAGAAATGTTGGGTGTAGGGTTGCTCAGGTTTGGATTACTCAGATAAGATTCGGTTGGTCTCTATCCTCCGCAGCAGGTCCTTTATAGGCAAAGGGAATTGCTCTTATGGCTAGTTAAATTGAAAATTCAGTTTCCCTCAATGCACAACCTCTGAGGGCCCAGCTTCGAGGGCTGACTCCACAGCCGGCAGGTTTCCACAGACCACGAGGTCAGGAGCACCACGCGAAGGCTGCACCTCTGCCCTCGCTTTCCAGCGGCCTCTAGGGCTCGCTCCTTCCAACCCTCCAGCGGGCGTCGTGGGCTGGTAGCTGGGCTGTGCGGAAAGGAAGCAGATTCCGATCTTCACACCCGCTGATCTGCTGTGCCCGGTCCCGGGATCGCTTTCAGTCCATGCCTGCGTGGCCCCGACCTTTGGAGGGTCTCAAGCCCCGGCGCGTGCCCAGGAACGGACTGGACCCTAACTCTGGAATCCAAGGGTTCAGGTTGCTGTGAGCGCGAGCCGGACCGCCATGGAGCAGGAGGTCCAGGACCAAGGCAGGGACGGTGGGTGCGCGGAGAGGCTTGGGGCTCCCAGAGGTGGGAGGAATCTCATGTAGCGGATGAGGCGCCTGTGGGGCGCAGTCGAGGAGCACCGGAGTACTGAATGGGGTGGAGAATGGGAGGAGACGCAGCAGGAAACGCTCGGGGCTAGGCCCTCCGGGCTGGGGCCACTGTGGAGGGGAGGGACAGGGCGGCGCCCGGCTGGGCCGCCCGGCCCTCTCACCTCGCCCTGGCG